AGGTCATTAAGGCGTGTGTGGAAATATTAGACAAACAAATTAAGAAATCTCAAAGTGCAATCATTTTTAAATTTCTAATCATAAAAAAAGTTATTTTAAATCCCATCTCAAAATGTCCATCATTGTTAAACTACTCAAGTAGCGAAGTATAAACCTTATATACAATTTTGAAATTAACTTTTTTTGTCAGCTTTAAATTTTTTTCATTTTTGCTTGTGAATTAAGAAAATGCTGCCTTTAAATGGAGTACCCGAATTTTGTTCACTGGAATTTTGGTCACCAATGTTTTTCGAAGCTCTAGCCGTCAATTTTTTAATTTTGGCCACCAGCAGAATTATGGTGTTTTCTTCATTGTGAAATTAGATCTCGAAAATAAACGGAAAAAAGGCCACAGACTTTAAAAAATATTTTACCCGATTTAAAGCTTTTTTAGGCCTATATGAAAGTCTATATAATGTGATACAAGTTACATTTTATTTTTACGAAAAAGAAAGAAAAAAGAATCTTATGATTTTTTAGTATCGGGATTTGGACTGGAACTCTTTTAATTAATATTTCCCATCTTTATTCATCAGGTTCCTCGTTCAGATCAAAAGGAAGAATTTTCTTATTTGAATCCATGTGATTTGTATTTGATTCATCATCAAGAATTTTATTCGGCTCCTCAACCTCGATTTGATGTTGCTCATCCTCGCCCTTATTGCGTTCTTCCTCTTCTTGATTAATAGGATTTCCTTCCTCGAAATTTTCGTCGCTCACAATTGGTAATTTACCTTTAACATTAAAATCACCGATCTGTGGATTAACAAATGAAGTTCCTTCATTATTATCAGATTGAACGGTTTTCTTTTCTTGTCGGTATTTTCGCTGGTATTCATTCCACTTTTCTCTATTATTCTGGTTATACATTTTCTTGTATTGCTGGATCCTTTCTTTATTCCTTTTATAGTAATTTCGTTTATTCTCATTTATCTTTTCTTTATTTTGTTTTTGGTAATTTCGATGATATATCTTATTTTTTTGATAATATTCTTTATTATATTCACTTCTGTTAACCTTTTTGCCTTTCACATTGTTTCTGTCCTTTTTTGTATTTTTTAATTTTGGTTTTAACGTTTCTTTATACTTTTGAATGGGAGGATTGACTGACGATTGATTGATTGACGATTGATTGACCGAAGATTCAGCCACAACATTTATTATTTTAGTTGCCGTTTTATCGTTTTCAGCATGTTTAGCTAAACATTTTCGAATAGAAACAGTCTTAACAAATGCCCATAATATCGCAATGAAGATTAAAACGTTTAAAAAACTAGCAAGTTTCATCTTGAACAAATTTTAAAATTTTCTTAACTAAAGAAAAATAGGTACAATTCGGGTTCAAAAGGTAATAACTAGATTCGGATTGACCAATGTGTAACTTTTTGGATAAATTCAAAAGAAAGGAGAAATAAATTATTAATAAAGAGTCAAAAACACAAAAAAATTATTAAATTTGATTTTATAAAATAAACTTATGTGAATGATATATATGTAAAAGGACATTGTCTAATTATTTTGTATTTGATGTACATATAAAAGGTCAATAAGGCGAGTGCGGAAATATTAGACAAACAAATTGAGAAATCTCAAAGTGCAATCATTTTTAAATTTCTAAACATAAAAACAAGTAAAATTCATTGAAAAGAAAGTGCGCAGACGGAAAAAACTTTTTAAAATTAGAATTATAAATTATTTTCAAGGTTATCGTTGAGGGAAATGCTTAAATATTATATTGGGAACGGAGTCGTTGATAAATTTTAGGGTAATATTGAATGAATTATGAATTATTTCTACTAAAATGAACTAGAAAATCTCCAACAAATTTTAAAGTAGAAGCCGAGGAATCGAAACATATTTCAATAAAAATCCCGAATTTATTAAATATTATCTGATCAAATGCTTCCTTTATCTGTATTTTTCTTATCTTATGAAGATGATGATATTTTATATTAGTAAACAGTTTTTTGATTTTATGAATCTTTTAAAAGCTTTCAAAATTTTTGGAAATTTATCATTATATATTAAAAAATAATATTCATTGGAATAAAAGTTTAGTATAAACAACTTGTTGTTAGAAAAATAAAAGAAGAGTGTTATAAGTTTTCGTTCATAAGTTTTCTTTGTTCATAAGTTTTCTATTTTTGCAGTATTCTTTCTTTATTTTTTTGGCGGTAAATTTTCATATATTGAAGTTTTTGCTTATTTATACGTTCTTTATTCCTTTTATAGTAATTTCGTTTAATCTCATTTATCTTTTCTTTATTTTTTCTGAAATTTCGACTGTTTTCACAAATCCTTTCTTTATTTTTTGGTAATATTCTTTATTATATTTACTTATTTTAACCACGTTGTCTTTGACATTATCTTTGCCATCTTTTGTATTTTTTAATTCTAGCCTTAATGTTTCTTTATATTTTTGAATGGAAGGATTGACCGACGATTCAGCCCCATCATTTATTATTTTAGTTGCCGTTTTATCGTTTTCAGCGTGTTTAGCTAAACTTTTTCGAATAGAAAGTCTTAACTAATACCCATAATATTGCATTGAAGATTAAAACAATTAAGAAACTAGCAAGTTTCATCTTGAACAAATTTTAAAATTTATTTAACTAAAGAAAAATAGGTACAATTTGGTTCAAAAGATAATATGTAACTAGTTTCGGATTGAATATTGTGTACTTTTTTGAATAAATTCAAAAGAAAGTAAAAGAAATTATTAATCACCGTCTAAGAAAAATAATAAAATTTAAAAAATGAATTTATATAAATAAGAATATGGGAAGGATATGTATAAGGACATCGTCTAATTATTTTGTATTTGATATAAAAGGTCAATAAGGCTAGAGTTTGGAAATATTAGACAAACAAATTAAGAAATCTCAAAGTGCAATCATTTTTAAATTTCTAAACATAAAAACAAGTAAAAAACATAAAAACAAGTTTTTGTAAATTTATCATTATATCTTAAAAAATAAATATTCAGTGGAATAAAAGTTTAGTATAAATAAATTATTTTTAGGAAACAAAAGAATAGTGAATCTATGATTTTTTATTATCGGGACTTGGATTAGAACTTTTTTTTATTAATATTCCCAAGCATTATCATCAGGTTTTTCGTTCAGATCAAAAGGAAGTATTTTCTTATTTAAATCTATTGTGTCATTATCAAGAATATCATTTGTCTCTTCTACTTCGATTTGATCTTCCTTTCCTTAATTAAATAGATTTTCTTCTACCAAACAATAAATTGGTAATTTACCTTTATCTTCCCATTCTTCATCATCAGGTTTCTCGTTCAGATCAAAAGGAAGTATTTTCTTAATTGAAATCATGTGATTTGTTTCCATGTGATTTGATTCATTTTCCAAAATTTTATTTGGCTCTTCTACCTCAATTTGATTTTGATTATCCTCGCCACTATTGCATTGTTCCTCTTCTTGATTAAAAATATTTCCTTCTTCCTCGCAAACTATTGGTAATTTACCTTTATTAATAAAACTGTCAGTATGTGGATTAACAAATGAAATTCCTTCATTTTTATCAGATTGAATGTTTTTCTTTTTTTGTCGGTATTTTCGCTTGTATTCATTCCGCTTTTCTCTGTTATTTTGTTCATACGTTTTCTGTTTTTGCATTATACTTTCTTTATTTTTTTGGCGGTAAATTTTCATATATTGACGTTTTAGCTTATTTATACTTTCCTTATTCCTTTTATAGTAATTTCTTTGAGTCTCATTTCTCTTTTCTTTGTTTTGTTTTCTGTAATTTCGACTGTTTTCACAAATCCTTTCTTTATTTTTTTTGGTAATATTCTTTATCATATTTACTTTTCTTAGACACATTGTCTCTTCCAATATCAGTGTTATTTTTAGAAATTTTTAATTTTGATTTTAACGTTTCTTTATATTTTTGATTTTGAGGATTGACCGACGATTCAGCCCCATCATTTAATGTCTTGGTGACATCCTTTGCCGTTTTATCGTTTGCAGCATGTATAACTAAGCCTTTATGAGTTGGAATAGTTTCAATTAGATTCAATAAAATCGTATTGAATATTAAAACGTTTAAATAACTAGATATTTTCATCTTTAACAAATTTTAATTTTTTGGATAAATCCAGAAGAAAGGAAATGAAAATTATTAACAAAGTGAAAAAATAATAAAATTTAATTAAAAATTGAATTTATATGAATAAGATTATGTGAAGGAAATGTATAAGGCGGAAATATTAGACAAACAAATTAAGAAATCTCAAAGTGCAATCATTTTTAAATTTCTAAACAAAAAAACAAGTAAAATTCATTGAAAGAAAAGTGCATAGACGAAAATAAGCAAATTACATAATAATTAAGCAATAAGAAAAAATAATAGTTGACTAAATTGTTGTGAGAATGGCAATAATATAGAAAGTAGAGATCGGACCTAGAGGTGATTTTGAACAAAAACTGGGTCTTAAAATGGACTTATCTAGTAGTACAATTAAGACCAAACTGATCAAGTTCTAGACAAGTCTATTTTAGTTAACCTAACAATTCAATAAGGCAACCAAAGTCAAAAACACGCAATTTCACGCAAAATTAATTATTTATATAAGGGGTAATCTAGAGATATAAGTTGATTTGAGCATTAAGATGGGTTTATGTTATATCAGTGATTTAAAGAGATATCAAGGATTGGTTACTTGAAGGAAAGTGCTTGAGAATACCGGGATCGGTAAAGTCATTAGGATGGATTCCTTGATAAATAACCTTACAAAACTTTATTTCTCAGACTAGAATATTGAAAATTTATCCGAAAATTGAAAATATATTATTTATAATTTATCAGTAAGAAATAAAAATGAAAGTATAGTATAAATAAATTATTTAGACAAAGTAAAAGAAGAGCAAATTCAAGATTTTTTGTCTTCAAAGCTTGGACCTTGTTTCTCTCATTCATAAAATTAGCCACGTTTCCTTTTAATAATCGTCCCATTCTTCATCCACAGGTTTTTTGTTAAGATCAAAAGGATGAATTTCCTTATTCAAATCTACTGCGTCATATTCAGGAATTTTATTAGGCTCTTCAGCCTCGATCCGACTTTGCTCATCATCGGCATTACATACTTCATCCCCCTGATTCGAAAGATTTCCTTCCTCAAAACTTTTCTCGCAAACAATTGGTAGTTTACCTTTATTAATAAAATCACCAGCCTGTGGATTAACAGACGAAGTTCCTTCATTATTATCAGATTGAACGTTTTTCATTTTTAATCTGTATTTTCGTTGGTATGCATTCACCTTTTCTTTGTTATTTTTATTATATATATTTTTGCTTTCTAAAATCCTTTCCCTATTTTTTTCGTAGTAAAGTTTATTTCTTTCACTTTTTGCATAAAGTTTAGCTTCCTTATTCTTTTCATAGTAATTGTGCTTATCCGCTTTTATCTTTTCTTTGTTTAGTTTTTTGTAATTTTGAAAATATTCTTTATTTTTCTGATAATATTCCTTATTATATTTACATTTTTTAAAGAGTTTGTCTTCGTTTCTAACTGAGTCCTTGTTTGTATTATTTAATTTAGATTTTAATATTCCTTTATATTTTTGATTTTGCGGATTGACAGACGATTCAGCCCCATCATTTAATATTTTAGTTGCCTTTTCGGGGTGTTTAGCTAAACATTTTCGGAATGGAACAGTTTTAACAAGTGTCCATAATATCGCAATTATGATTGAAACAATTAAGAAATTATCAAGCTTCATCCTAAAAATAATTTTAATTTATCTTGAAAATAAGATAATAAAAATAATAAAATTGAAATTATATAGATGAAAATTTGGGATATATTATGGAAATATCTAAAATATGTTTTATAGTTAAATGTAAATAAATAAAAGGGCAATAAAGCAAGAGGGTATAGCTATTAAACAGACAAATTTATGAAATCTCAAAGTGCAATTTCACAAACATTTTTACATTTCTAAAATTAAAAACAAGTAAAATTTATTGAAAAGGAAGTGCAAAGTCGAAAAAAGCAATTAATTAATAATTAAACAGAAGGTTTTGAATACCGCATTATCTCTAATAAAACTACATGTCGTTTTGTTTTTCAACCTCCCTCTACTAGTCTCGTTATAGAGGTATCATTTCAATCATTTAAAAAATTTTAAAAAATTTTTTAATCAGCAATTGTCAAATCAAGAATTGTCGTCCGCATTTGTCGTCCATAATTGTCGCATCCGCAATCGTCGTCCGCAATTCTCGTCCGCAATCATCGCATCCGCACGTGCGTATCCGCAATTGACGTAACAAAGTAAATTGAAATATATTACACTTTGTCAGTAAATTATAAGACCTTTTTTGTATTTAAATCCAAAACATATTTAATTTTAAAATACCATAATTTTAAAAATTAAAATATTAAATAATAAAAAAATTAAAAACGGAGTAAAGTTATTAGTGATCTTCCAATACTTCATCCTCAGGCATCTCGTTCAAATCAAAAGGAAGAATTTTCTTATTTAGATTTATTTGATTTATATCATCTCCAGGAATTTTATTTGGCTCTTCTACCTCGATTTGATTTACTTCTCCATTATTCTGCTCGTCCTCAGGCTGATTAAAAAGATTTCCTTCCTCTTCGTTCAGATCAAAAGGAAGAATTTTCTTATTTAAATCTATTGTGGCATCATCAAAAATTTTATTTGGCTCTTCAACCTCGATTTGATTTTGTCCATCTTCGCCATTATTGCATTCTTCCGCTCCTTGATTTAAAAGATTTCTTTTCTCCTCGCAAACAATTGGTAATTTACCTTTATTAATAAAATCACCAGTCTGTGGATTAACAAAAGAAGTTCCTTCATCATCAGCTAATTTAACGATTTTCTTTTTTTGTTGATATTTTTGTTGGTATTCTTTCAATTTTTCTTTATTATTTTGGTAATAAATTCTCTTCCTTTTCTGTACTGTTTCTTTATTTTTCTGATAGTAAATTTTCGAAAATTGATTCTTCTTCTCCTTATTCTTTTTATTGTAATTTCGCATATGTTGAAGAAACCTTTCTTTATTTTTTTGGTAATATTCTTTATTATATTTACTTTTGTTTGATTCATTGTCTCCCCCTCTATCCTTGTCCTTTTTTGAAATTTTTACTTTTGGTTTTAACGTTTCTTTATATTTTTGAATTTGAGGATTGACCGACGATTCAGCCCCATCATTTAAAATTTTAGTTGCCGAGTAATTATTTTCAGCAGCTAAACCTTTTTGAGTTGAAGTAGTCTTAACTGGTGACCATATTATTCCATTGATGATCAAAACGATCAAAAAACTAGCCAATTTCATTTTAAATAAATTTTAAAATTAAGGAAAATAACAAAATTTTATTCAAAACGATTTTATAAATGAAAATATTTAAGGCATAAGAATCTACCTAAATTATGTTTTGTAATAGATGAAACGGATGTATAAAAGGGAAATAACATATCAGACCGACAAATTAAGAAATCTTATCAACAATCTTATGCGCGACAATTTTTACCTTTTTAAATGTTCTTGTGTTGATTCCATCGAGAATCTTTGGGGTATATTAGTTTGAGATGTTTATGTAGACTGTAGGCAATATTCAAATACCCAATAACTTAAAGCCGCAATTTGAAGCATGGAATAAAAATACATTAGAAATACTTACAAATTTGATAGAGAGTATGCTAAAAAGAATGATATAAGTTCTCAAAAAACCGGGGGTGTTATTCACAAAAACCTTATGAAATTCACAAATTTTAGGTGGGGTTATAATTTTGTTACACATTGTAACATAATCCAAATTGTACCTTGTATTGGGAATACAAAGGAGATAAATAACAACCATACATGCCATAGCTATTATATTATTACGAAGTGTGAAAGGCAGAAGAACGTTCAACTGAAATTCATAATTTTTACAAAATTCGGAAAAGAAGGTAAGGGGAAGCCTGTCATAATATATTGTTTTTTCTTATTGCTTAATTATTAAGTAATTTGTTTTTCCGTCTATGCACTTTTCTTTCAATGAATTTTAAAAGTTTTTGTTTTAGGATAGGGTCGAAATACATTAGAAATACTTACAAATTTGATAGAGAGTATGCTAAAAAGAATGATATAAGTTCTCAAAAAACCGGGGGTGTTATTCACAAAAACCTTATGAAATTCACAAATTTTAGGTGGGGTTATAATTTTGTTACACACTGTAACATAATCCAAATTGTACATATTGTATTGGGAATACAATGGAGATAAATAACAACCATACATGCCATAGCTATTAAATCATTACAAAGTGTGAAAGGCAGAAGAACTTTCAACTGTAATTTATTTATTTTACAAAATTCGGAAAAAAATGTGAGGGAAAGTGAGGGGGAAGCCTGTCACAATTCAAATATTGTTTTTTCTTATTGCTTAATTATTAAGTAATTTGTTTATCCGATTTGCACTTTTCTTTCAATGAATTTTATTTGTTTATATATTTTGAAATGTAAAAATTATTTCCCAAAAGTTTTCGTAATTTTTGTACTTTGGGATTTCTCAATTTAGACTTATTGTCTATTTATACATCTACTAAACAACGATGTTTTTATATACTTCACAAATTTTCATTTATGATTTCCTTTTGATAATCGGAGATGAATCCTTAACTTTTTAATTAAATTTCAATATTTTACATTAATTTTTATTTAAATTTGTTTAGGATGAAACTTGGTAGTTTTTTATTCGTTTTAATCCTCAATGCAATATTATGGATTAATGTTACAACTGTTCCGATTCGAAAAACTTTAGCTAAACACTCCGAAAAGGATTACACAGCAACTGAAATATTAAATGATCAGGCTGAATCGTCGGTCAATCCTCAAAATCAAAAATATAAAGAAACGTTAAAACCAAAATTGGAAAATACAAAAAAGGGCATAAACAATGGGAAAGACAAAAAGAGGAACAGAAGTGAATATTTTAAAGAATATTATCAGAAAAATAAAGTTATTTATCAAAATTACCAAAAACTAAACAAAGAAAAGATAAAAGGGTATCGGCAAAATTACCATAAAAGGAATAAAGAAAAAAATAGAGAAAAGCGGAATGAATACATGAGAAAATACCGACAAAAAAAGAAAAACGTTCAATCTAATAACAATGAGGGAACTTCAATTGTTAATCCACATACTGCTGATTTTACTAATTTAGTTCAATTATCAATTGTTTGCGAAGAGGAAGGAAATCTTTTCGATGACAAAAATGAGCAAAATCAAATCGAGATAGAGGAACCAAATAAAATTATTAGTGATTAATCAAATATAAATCACATGGATTCAAATAACAAAATTCTTCCTTTTGATCTGAAAGAGGAACCTGAGGATGGAAATGTGGAAGATTAATAAAAAAAGTGGTCTAGTCCAAGTCCCAATAACGAAAAAATCATGAGATTTGCTCTTCATTCGTTTTCTAAAATTAATTTATTAATACTAAGCAATCATTACATCGAATATTTATTTTTTAATAAATAATGATAATTTGCAATTATTTGAAAGCTTTTAAAGTTACAGAAAATAAAAAGATTATTACAAAATAATATACAGGGTGACACAAAAAGGATGTCCCACTTGTTTTAAACTCGTAACTTTATTTAAAATCAAAATAACAACAAAATACAAAATAAATATAATAGAGAATAAATGGAGGAACAAATACAATCAATGAGTTTTGAAGTGCCCACCCTTAGCTTTGATGCATTCACGCAAACGCTTGGGGAAGTTTTCGCAGATGGCACGCACCTCCTCGGCCGACATTTTTTCCCATTCCCGGAGAAGGGCTTGCTTAAGAGACTCCAAACTTTTGTGAGGAGTAGCACTGGCCCTTGCCTCCAAAATGGATCAGACATAAAAATCCAAAGGATTTAAGTCTGGACTGTACGGAGGCCATTCCTGAGCACTAATTAACCCAGGAAAATTTACCTTACACCAATCCTGCACATCACGTGCCTTGTGGGCCGGGGCGGAGTCCTGCTGGAAAATCCATTCCCGCCCACGAAAGTGTGCTCGGGACCAAGGTTTAACTACATTCTGGAGGATTTCCTTTAGGTAATAATTTTTGTTAATTTTGGAGCCAGGATCCACAAAAATCAGGGGTGTCTTTCCGGTGAGACAAATTCCCGCCCAAACCATGACCTGTTTTGGATGTTGTGAATGAGTGATTATACCACTGGAAAGAGGAGGTTTTGAAGCCCAAATTCTGTCATTTTGATGATTATGTGTCTGCTCAATTGTGAAAATTTTCTCGTCCGAAAAGAGTATTTCTTGACTTGCGTGCCGCTTGAGGAGTGCTCGACATCTTTGAAGCCTAACTTTTTTGTTTGATTCTGTAAGATGCTGGCCCTTTTGGATTTTGTATGCCTTGAGTTCAAGTTCTTTCTTAACTATTCGTCGAACTGCTTCGCGATTTATCCCTGTCTCCCGAGCGACTTTTCGTAACGAAACCCTTGATTTGCGCCTCAGTCTCTCTCTTATGATTTTTCGGTTCTTAGGAGTGTTTGACGTGCATGGTCTACCAGGGCTTTTTAAGTCTTCAAGTGTGCCTTGCTCTCTATAAACTTTTTTTCTGAATTTTCAGTTAAAAATTTACCTGAATTTTTTAAGTATTCGATTCACTGTTCTTTTAGTGCAACCAATTAGACGGGCAATTTCTGATGTTTTTTTCCCTCCGAATTTAATTTAATGATAATTTCGCGATCCTTAGGCATAATAGAGAAATGTTTAAGCTACAAATACAGTATATAATAAAGAAAAAATAGTGAATGGAAAATAGTGAAATTTTAAAATTTAAAGTGGGACATCCTTTTTGTGTCACCCTGTATAATCATCTTCATAAACATATAATAAAAATATCTATTTTCTTTCTTTTTTTTTGTCAGTGGCTTGGCTTTTTCAACACCACTTTCTTCATTCCTTCACTTTTCAAGAATATTGGAAGAAAAATGAATTTTCCTTCCTTTTCTCACCCTTTTTTAATATCCCAAAAAATTAATTATATGTAATTTAAAATTTATATTTTTGTTTTCAATTTAATTTAAAATAAATTATTTTTCGCAAATTGTTTTTAATTTACTTACTAGGAAGGAATCTAAGATAAAGCTCGGGTATTCTAGATTTCGGGAGTTCGAATTCTTCCGCCCTTTTAATTATTGCCAGAATTTATGTCGATTACATCGGGTCTGCGGCAACTCAGTTACTAGAAGAATATTTAAATAATAATTTCTAATAATTATACTTTTAAAAAGTTTTTTAGTCTGTGCACTTTCCTTTCAATGAATTTTACTTGTTTTTATGTTTAGAATTCTAAAAATGATTGCACTTTGAGATTTCTTAATTTGTTTGTCTAATATTTCCAAACTCTTGCCTTATTGCCCTTTTATACATCGAATACAAAATAATTAGACGACGTACTTATACATACCCTTCATATATGTTTATTTATATAAATTCATTTTTTAAATTTTATTATTTTTCATAGACGTTGCTTAATAATTTTTAATTTTTAAAAAAATTTTAAAAGTTGTTTAGGATGAAACTTGCTAGTTTATTAATCGTTTTTATCTTCAATGAGATATTATTGACGTTTGTTACAACCGTTCCTACTCGAAAAGCTTTAGCTAGACATGATGAAAATTATTACACGTCAAATGATGTTAATAAATCATTAAATGATGGGGCTGAAACGTCTGGCAATCCTCAAATTCAAAAATTTAAAGAAACTTTAACAAAAAATGACAAAGATATGAATAATGATGTGGGCAAGTCTTCTAAGAAAAGTGAATATTATAAAAAATATTACCATGAAAATAGAGAAAGGATGTGTGAAAACAAGCGAAATTACTATAAAAGGAATAAAGAAAGGTTAGAAAGTAATTATAGGGTTTACCGTCAAAGAAATAAGGAAAAGATACAGGAATACAGGAAAATGTATAACAAAAATAACAGGGAGAAGTTGAATGAATACATGAGAAAATACCGACAAAATAAGAAAAACGTTCAATCTAATAATAATGAAGGAACTTCATTTGTTAGTCCACAGACTGGTGATTTTATTAATAAAGGTAAATTACCAATTGTTTGCGAGGAAGAAGAAAATCTTTTTAATAAACGAGAGGAAGAATTCAATAATGACAAAGATGGGCAAAAACAAATCGAAGTAGAAGAGCCGAATAAAATTCTTGAAGATGAAACAAATACAAATCACATGGATTCAATTAAGAAAACGCTTCCTTTTGATCTGAACGAGGAACCTGATAATGAATGATGGGAAGATTAATAAAAAAAAAGTGTTCCGGTCCAAGTCCCAATAACGAAAAATATGAGATTCACTCTTCTTTCATTTTCATATAAATAATTTTACTAAACTTTTATTCCACCGAATATTTATTTTTTAATAACTAATGATAAAATTTCAATTTCTCGAAAGCTTTTAAAGTTACACACGTTACCTTCACTCGAAACAAATACAATGGGATTTTATAACCTATACACGTAATAAATGTGTCGGCGTCAAATTTAAAACTCGGTCAGTTTTCAATTTTACCCTCAATATCTGGTACTCACTGGCACCACCAACCAAAGAATATAGCACAAAATTAACCTAAAATTCCTTGACAACTCCGTCCCAAAAGAATATTTAAGGATTTCCCCCAACCTAACCTTGAAAATAAAATACATACTTTTAAAAAGTTTTTTTCCGTCTGCGCACTTTCCTTTCAACGAATTTTACTTGTTTTTATGTTTATAAATTTAAAAATGATTGCACTTTGAGATTTCTTAAATTGTTTGTCTTATATTTCCAAACTCTTGCCTTATTGACCTTTTATACATCAAATACAAAATAATTAGACGATGTACTTATACATATCCTCCCCCTTTGTTTATTTATATATTAAATTCAATTTTTAAATTTTATTATTTTTCATAGACGTTGCTTAATAATTTTCTTCTCCTTTCCTTTGAATTTATCCAAGTACACATTGTTCATATTAAATTTTAACCTAAATTGTACTTATTTTTCTTTAATTTTAATAAATTTTAAAAATTGTTTAGGATGAAACTTACTAGTTTATTAAGCGTTTTAATCTTCGATGAGATATTATTGACATTTGTTACCACTGTTCCAACTCGAAAAGATTTAGCTAACATGTTGAAAAGGATTATACGGCAAAGGATGTATATAAAATATTAAATGGTGGGGCTGAATCATCGGTCAATCCTCAAATTCAAACATTTAAAGAAACCTTAACAAGAAATGACAAAGATATGAGTAATGGTGTGGGCAAATTTTCTGAAAAAAGTGAATATTATAAGAAATATTACCAAAAAAATAAAGGATTTGTGAAAACAAGCGAAATTACTATAAAAGGAATAAAGAAAGGTTAGAAAGTAATTATAGGGTTTACCGTCAAAGAAATAAGGAAAAGATACAGGAATACAGGAAAATGTATAACAAAAATAACAGGGAGAAGTTGAATGAATACATGAGAAAATACCGACAAAATAAGAAAAACGTTCAATCTAATAATAATGAAGGAACTTCATTTGTTAGTCCACAGACTGGTGATTTTATTAATAAAGGTAAATTACCAATTGTTTGCGAGGAAGAAGAAAATCTTTTTAATAAACGAGAGGAAGAATTCAATAATGACAAAGATGGGCAAAAACAAATCGAAGTAGAAGAGCCGAATAAAATTCTTGAAGATGAAACAAATACAAATCACATGGATTCAATTAAGAAAATGCTTCCTTTTGATCTGAACGAGAAACCTGATAATGAATGGTTGGAAGATTAATAAAAAAAAGTGTTCCAGTCCAAGTCCCAAAGACGAAAAATATGAGAAGACGAAAATATTTCTGTATCTTTTCCTTACCGTCAAAGAAATAAGGAAAAGATACAGAAATACAGGAAAATGTATAACAAAAATAACAGGGAGAAGGTGAATGAATACATGAGAAAATACCGACAAAATAAGAAAAACGCTCAATCTGATAATAATTAGTGTTCGGCAAATGACTTTTTCCGGTATTCGGTATCGGTATACCGAAAAAATACCGATACCGAAAAATACCGATTTTTACAAAAATTGACCGGTACGGTATCGGTATCGGTATACCGGAAAAATACCGATACCGGAAAATACCGTCTCATCATTTTTAAAAAATTTTATAAAATTTTTTAAATTTTATTTTTAAAATCTTAACAATAAATCTTAACAATCTCAAGGACTTGAGCTTCTTCTAATCGATCATAGGCAAGATTTGAATGAGCAAAATGTCCAACAATTGTTCGACATTTAGCTAATTGAAAAATACAATGCCCCCTCCATTAGAATACCCTCATTTAATAGTATGTCCCCTGGAGGATGATTGAAAAATACTATGCCCCCACCATTAGAATACCCTCCTTTAATAGAATGCCCCAGAAGGATAATTGAAAAATACAATGCCCCCTCTAATAGAATGCCCCTATAGAAGGTTGGTGATTCAGATTGGTGATTTTATTAATAAAGGTAAATTACCAATTGTTTATGAAGAAAGTTTAGATGAAGGAAATTTTTTGAATCAAGGGCAGGAGGAAAACAATAATGGCGAGGATATTGAAAATCTAATCGAGTTAGAAGAGCCAAATAAAGTTTTTGATGATCAATCAAATACAGATCACATAGATTCAATTAAGAAAATACTTCCTTTTGAATTGAATGAGGAACCCGATAATGAATGATGGGAAGATCAATAAAAAAAAGTGTTCCAGTCCAAGTCCCAATGACGAAAAATATGAAATTCACTCTTCTTTCATTTTCATATAAATAATTTATACTAAACTTTTATTCCACCGAATATTTATTTTTTAATAACTAATGATAAAATTTCAATTTCTTGAAAGCTTTTAAAGTTACACACGTTACCTTCACTCGAAACAAATACAATGGAATTTTTAACATATACACGTAATATATGTGTCGGCGTCAAATTTTAACCTCGGTAGTTTTCAATTTTACTGTCAATAACTGGTACTCACTAAAACCACCAACCAAAGAATATTTAAGGATTTCCCCCAACCTAACCTTGAAAATAAATTACAATTATACATACTTTTAAAAAGGTTTTTTCCGTCTGCGCACTTTCCTTTCAATGAATTTTACTTGTTTTTATGTTTTGAAATTTAAAAATGATTGCACTTTGAGATTTCCTAATTTGTTTGTCAATAAAGTTTGTTTCTTAATTATACGAGCAAACATTTTTCTGGCATTACTAATAATTCCTGTGTACCGATTGAGCCCTAATTTTTCTAATAGTAGATATTCTATCAATATTAGGGTTCGGAGTGAAGTACTGTGATCCCCGTTTTCCGTTGATTTTGGGGGTATGAGATCTAATGAATAAGGCTTTTATGGACTTCGTTCTTTTTACATTTCTACTCAATATTGATGGAAATGTTTACAGGAATTTTTGTAAAATTTTTAGATCACCTATAGTAAAGATTATGAAACACCCCATATGTTAAAAAATCATAAAAAATTTAGATTTAGTTGAGATCTCAGAATCCTAATATTTTAAAATAACTACTAATATAAAAAATTAGAGCTCAATCGGTACACAGGAAGTATGAGTTTAAAAATGATTGCACTTTGAGATTTCTTAATTTGTTTGTCTAATATTTCAAACTCTTGCGTTATTGACCTTTTATACATCAAATACAAAATAATTAGACGATGTCCTTTTACAAATTCTTCACCATTGCTTATTTATATAAATTCAATTTTTAATTAAAATTTATTATTATTGGTACACTTTGCTTAATAATTTTCTTCTCCTTTCTTTTGAATTTATTCTAAAAAGTACATCTTTTAAGCCAAATTGTACCTATTTTCTTTTAATTTTTAAATAAATTTTTAAATTTGTATAGGATGAAACTTTCTAGTCTCTTAACCGTTTTAATGCTCAATTGGATATTATTAACATCTATTATGAGCACACCTGAAAAAGGTTCAGCTAGACACGCTGAAAAGGATTATACGGCAAAGGATCTAGCTAAAATATTAAATGAAGGGGCTGAATCGTCTGCCGACCCTCAAATTCAAAAATATAAAGAAACGTTAAAACCAAAAACGATAAGAAAGCGGTCACAGATAGAGGAGGAAACAAAGTGTTTAACAAAAATGAATATAATAAAGAATATTATCAGAAAAATAAAGAAAGTTTGGCTGAATATTATCGAAATTACTATAAAAGAAATAAAGGAAATTACTATAAAAGGAATAATAATAAGGAAGAAAAAAGACAATATATGAAAGTTTACCGCCAAAAAAATAAAGAAAAGATACAGAAAAGGATGAAAATTTATAACAAAAATAACAGGGAGAAGTTGAATGAATACATGAGGAAATACCGACAAAATAAGAAAAACGTTCAATCTGAAAATAATGAAGGAACTTCATTTGTTAATTCACAGACTGGCAGTTTTATTAATAAAGGTAAATTACCAATTGTTTGCGAGGAGAATTTTGTGGGAACTCCAAATCAAGGGGAGGAAGAATGCAATAATGGCGAGGATGAGCAAAATCAAATCCAGGTTGAAGAGCCGAATAAAATTCTTGAAGATGAAACAAATACAAATCACATAGATTTGAATAAGAGTATACTTCCTTTTGATCTGAACGTGGAACCTGAAGATGAAAATTTGGAAGATTAATAAAAGGAATTCCAGTCCATGACACAATAATATAAAATCATAAATTCTTTTTTCTTTCATTTTCCTAAAATTAATTTATTCATAATAAACATTTTTTCCACCGTAATTTATTTTTTAATATAAAATGATAAATTTCCAATTTTTTTAAAGCTTTTAAACATATATAATGGGTTTTAATCTTAATAATATAATGGGTTTTCTAACCGACCTGATCATCTTGTAGCGGTGTATTTTTACCACGGTCAGTTTTCAATTTTAACTGGAAGTTAGTCAGCTTTCAATCATTATTAAAAATGTTAGTTCAGTCTGGGTTAGTTTACTTTTGTTTGTTGTTGTTCTTTTTGGGTATTTGTTTGTTTGATTATAGGTTTTGTATAAACTTCATTTGTGTTTATGACTTATGCCGCGAGTTACTAGCTTATGCAATTGGAACCAACCGCAACTTGTGTACCACTGCCCCTATTCGCGATAGATTAACTTATTCATATATTTTTTTGTGAATAGAAGACCATACTCAACCAGAGTTATGGTACATATGGTACACCCCCAAACTAACCTTGAAAATAATT